AAAAATTTCTCACAGTTGACCAAAAAACCTTTTTAAAGTTGTGACAGAACCCACGGGGCATAACACCAGAACAAAAGGGTCTACGCATTTCCCCGTGTCCGACAAAACCCTTTACAAAAATTAAATGTATGTCAAAGGCCCAAAAATCTGGAACACCCTACGTGAGAACTCTAGAACTGCAGACACATTCATCACCTTCAAAACTCCCGTTAGAAAAATCTTATCCCCCTGAACACACCGTCAACTAACTAAAAAAAACCACCTGGTGATTCACACTTCACTCAGTCACTCACCCTTTGGTAAAGCACAAAAATACGAATCTTAATCTTAAAAAAAAGACTCCTAACTAGTCATAAGTTTCCCCTGTGATACTCCAATATAGAAACTATTTTTTGTCCCAAAAAAAAATTTTCAATTCTAAACTCACAAACTAATTTTTAGTCACTTAGTATTTAGTCAAACTTACCCCTAATTTGTAATAATTTAGGGTTTAAAATTTAACTAAGTTTGCCCAAAGCCTACCATGCAAGGTGTCCTAGGTGACAGGATGGATAATGAGAACCTTCAAAACTGGGGATGCCAAGCCCATGATGAACTCTTCAGGTCGCTTGTTCATCTAGGCTGGGATATTGCTGCACTAACAGCACCTTTCAAGGCTGGTGAAATTGCTGACCTGAAATGTACAGAGAACCTTCAGGGCGAGCAAAGGAATAAAAAACCTAAATTTATTGGATCGCTTGAAGTTCCGCCCGTACTCCCGGGAATGCAGGCGGGAGAGATACATTTTATTCCCCTGGAAAATCCTAGAGGGACTAGTACCGAACTTAAACCGGAAATCACTACAACAAAAGCAAAAGACCGGCACCATGCAACCCCCCCCCAATAAAACAGGGTGTCACTACACGTTAAGAGACCTAAAATAAGTGTCGGGGGCCCCCGAACTGCTCAACTCCCCCCAGCATAATAAGGGGATACCAACAGATCCCTGAGTGTCTTCAGAGGCACTGGAAAACCCCAAAGTCGGTCCCTGACCACCGGGCTGTGGCTCGTACTTGGATTGCGTGCAGCCAGCAGTAAACAGCCTGGTTGATCGGGTTCTGATCCACCAGGACCCTGGTCACCGACGGGCTGGGGGGCGTTGCCCCCGGAACCTTTTTTCCAGGTAAGCCCCAGGTTTCCGGGTAAGGAGAACTGGCAACCCCCCAAACGCTTGAATGGAAGGGGGAGTCAAAAAGACACTAGAAACCTTCTTCTAAGACAAGACACCTTTTAAGATAAGGTCTGGGAGCTAACCTCAGAGCTCCATGTTCAAAATACCCCCAAATTTCCCCCGAGAGGCTTCCCGAAGTACGCATTTTTTTTAAAATCAAGGGGAAGCGCAAAAACCCGGGGGATTATACGCGCCGGGGGGGAGGGGATGTGGAAGGCTTTCAGGCTTAACCGAAGTACGCAGACTCTCTCTCCCCCAACTTCTAGAAAGACAATCTCCAACTTTTTCCTTTTTTTTTAGTTGGCCCAACGATGTATGGGGAATGGGGGAAAAATTTGAGGTTACGGTCACAGGCGGGCAAACCCCCACAGATAGTAAGTGAAACGGTCTCTCCTCTTAAGTTTTTATCTAAAGCTGTCCCACTTTACTGAAAATATTGTTACTGAATCCCCATTAATTTCGGAATCTCTAAGGGGGCAAAAAAGTCCTTCACTGACGTGGTTATTGAATAGATTATTTTATTTTTTTAAATTTAAAAAGAAGCGCTAAACCCCAAAAGGGGTTATACAGCGCTGCATGTATTGAATAGAGAACCAGGGGATCTGGTTATTGTGTAAAATCAAGGGATTTTAGTAGCATTTTCCCCACTACCAAGTCAGTCCTTTGCAAGATAAGAGTATAGGGAAAAATTTCCTAAAAGCCCTTTGTGAGATGAGACGACAATTCGAGTGCTGTGTCAACAGTACTTTGCCAGGGTGAGCACTAAAAAGGGAGGCATATTATGAAGGGGAAAGCACAAACCCTCTTTACAGTCCTGTGGGGGGATGGGGGGTATTCGGTTTAAATTCGGGGAAACTGGGTGCAAAATCCAATTCCCCCTAGATCAAGAGCCCCCCCCGCATAAAGGGACCCGTCCTTGAGGGGAAACAAGGAGGCAGTCCCACTTTTTCCTAATAATGGGGAGCCTAAACCCAAGAATTAACAGCACTGAAGGAGGGGGGAAAGGATTAAAGCCAATTCGGGGAACCAAGCACAAAACCCTTTTCTTTAAAACAAGGCCCCTCACCATTGTCGGGAACCCCCCTTGAGGGCCCCAAAGGCATGAATTTGCATAGGTTTGATTTCTGTTTGCCATTTTTCATGCTGATTCCCTACTGGTCTTTTTTTTTCTGACTCCCCCCACTACAGCACTTGTACTAACCAATGGTACCTCACCGTTTTTACGGGTATGTATCTACACATTCCTAGAGATCATTCCCTTGTTTCCATCTCCATGGTATTCCTTTTTTGTAACCCTGTAGTTACTAACTTTGTCTATACCTTTTTTTTCCCCAGCACAAGCCCTCTGTCCCCTCCAGTGCACGGGCTTTCTTTTTCTGTATTCTTACAGGGACTGCTTCCAAGGCGCCTAGCACCAGTTGTACACACCATCTGGCCCACTCCTTTTTTTCCCGCTGTTATAAAGAATCAAGTTTCCTAAAAGGGGTTTTTTTTATTTTTGTCTTTTATCAGATGTAATTTTTTTTCACAAGGGCTATCTTTGGGGAAATGTCTTCACAGAGCACAGAAACCCTTTTTCCACAGAAGTTGCACACAACTCAGGCGAATTATTATAATCAAATAAACCAAACTGACAAGGACAAAAATCTGGAGAAGCCCGCTTGTTGCTGTTGTGCAGACACACAGAATTTTATGATGGTAGTTTTTTGTTGGGTACACTTTTTTCGTATATTTTTTCCAGTGTTTGATAAACGTAACTGTCAATTTTTAAAACGAGTTTAAAAAGCCGATTCGGGTGTAGACGTTTGAAGAATTGCAGCACAATTTTTTTGTAACATTTCGTAAAAAATTAATTTAACACTGTTCCGGGTGGAAAAAAAATTTTAAGGAAAAATTTTGAGAGCGTGGGTTTCCCAGGGACTGGTGGTGGGGTACACTGTTGAGTCAATGGGGGGACCTACCACCGTCCCCCCCCCCTTCCCCCACCACCCTCCAACCTTCATTTTGGTTCATTCGTTGTAGGACCCCGATACTCAGGAAGCTCGGTTTCTTTTACATACTATTTTAATTGGGAATATCTTTAAATCTCCCAAGCAATACGGCACCCCCGCAGGGATATACAATGTTGCTGAAAAGGGGAAAAAAATGTTTAAGCATTTAAGTCTTAGAATTAATGAAGAAAACAGAAGTAATTTACAATAACATTGGCCCTAAGAATCGCACTGGAAATAAAAAGAGGTAAATTGAGTTTGTGTGATTGACTTACTGACTTTCTGAAGACGCCCTTTCTGAATGACTTACTGATTCGACGAAAACTTAAGACTTTAATGAAAACTTACTGACTTTACTGAATGGCTTATAACTTGACGAATAACTTACGATTTCTGATTGTCGGGCCAGAGTGACTTACCAAACAAATTTTTGTGAGGGAACACGTAGACATTAGTCTCCCAACAAGCACATTTAGCTCGGTATGACCGGCGAGCAATGCCATTGCCCGCTTAAAATCCAACAGATGCCCCCGTACAATTACGTTTTAAAAACGCCCCCCGCAGCACATTTTGAAAGCACTGCCGGTCATGTGGAGACCACCAAGGTATGCAGTCTGAGAATGCCTACCGAGGTTTTGGGGGATAAAATCTTGCCACATTTTGGACTAAGGTCCCAAAATTTTGCCCAGTTCATCAATATTCGACGAAAAAGGGGTCCCACAACAGGTGGCAAAAAGGAGTGTAAGTCCCAATCTGCTCGAGCAAAAACCAATAGGGTTTCGAAATGGTCAGGTATATGTAGTGAAGTAAAAGGATAGGAAAAATGATCATTATCATGTAAAAATGGAAAAACCAACCCCGTGAAATTAAGTACAAAGGGGAGGAACGAAGAAAAATTTAAAGCAGGGAGGCGAATCAAGACAAAAAGGTAGGAGCACCGTATTTAAAAAAAGAGAGGGGGAAAATGAAGAGTCAACTTATCCCACAGAGTCCAGTGGGACCCTCCCCATGAGGTGGTTAAAAATACCCAACAAACTTTGTTAAAATCACCCAACAAGACGGGGTTAAAAATCACCCAACAAAAGGGGGGAGGAGAGAAGAAATTAAAAGGGCAAATCAGAGAACAAATGCACCGAGGGAGAAAAAAAACAAACTGTAAACCTTGTGTTAAATAAAAACGAGCTGCAGTATAATGCAGCAGGAACAAAAAAAAACTTTTTGATACAGTAACAAGTACACAAAAAGCATGCTTTCATTAAATGATTCATCGGAAAAAGGGTGGAAGAATGTAAAGCA